CTTGTGTCTTTTAGCTTAATGCCATGTGTTTGAGCATAGTACCTGTTGAGACCTGTTGTGTTAGATGATTTGTTTTTCTGGCTGCATAGTTTTCCGATCTGAGTATGTCATGGTTTATTTTGCTGTTAATGGATATTTAGGGGGTTTCCACCCCTCCACTGTGGGAGGCACAGGGTTTTCTTTGGGCCACACAGAATGGGAAGAAACAGAGTCTGGCTTTGGTCTCAGTTCACAGAGGACCCAGCTGCAAGTCAGACGCTCATAAGCACTGGGAGCCAGTGATGGCTTTTGAGCAAGGAGCAGGGCTCTCTGTCAAATGCAGTGCGTTGGGGCTATACGTTTTTGCCTGTGGTTTGCAATTTGGACTGGGAACAGGAGTCTCTCTTAAGGCCTGGGTGCAGGATTTAAGGGCCTATCCCTTGGGGAGCCCATGCTGGGGAGCTGGAAGGCAGAACTGGGAGGAGTCCTGTGTGGGTGGCTTGTACCAGGAAGGGGACCAGACAGGGGTCCCGGCTGTGTGACTGGGAGGACAGCAGGCTTCCCCCCAGAGAGGTGGAGCAGGAAGAGCTGACCCTGGGACTGGGACACGCCCAGGGCCAACCACACCAGCCGAGGAAGCAGGAGTGGAGCTCAGGAGCACAGTGAATCACTGCAAGTCATCATCAGAGAAGCCTCAGGCTTGCAGAGAGGCCCCAGCACCCTGGTCCTCAACCCTGCTTTTCCCTGCTCTGTCCTCCCTTACCTGGAGGGCACAGTTCTTCCAGTCTGCCTCTGCTCGTGCTGCTTTCACAGTGTCCACTCCACTGTGGCCCAGCCAGCTGCCCCTGAAACCAGACCGTGTGCCTCCTTGCTGAGGACACACTCTCGGCTATCAGTGGCCTGGCCCCTGCCTGCCTCACTGAACCCTGTTCCAGCATTCTCTGCCCCTCCAGCCTGAAGAGACTCTGAGGCCTCCCAGCAACCCCTAGGCCTTCTCATTCCTGCCTGTTGGACCCTGGTACCACACCGACTAGGAGTGTGCACCCTGCAGGCTCCATCTCCGCTTCCAGCTCCTGTCACTGTGGAGAGAAGAGCCTGTCCCTGGCCACCCTGACCACAGTCAGCCTTCTCCCTTCCAGCTCCGCTCCTCCACGCCAGCTCACGTGAACTGGCAGTTCGCTGACTTTGTTTCTGGGTTAATGTCTGTTGCCCCTGCCCTCTTTGTACAGTATAAGCTGCGCAAGACAGGGTCCCATCCTGCTGTACCTACCATGTCCATCAAGGGCAATAAATATTTGCCAAACAAAATGAGCAAAAGAGAGGGGGCCGTGTTGCACAGCCTCTTAGAGCATGGTTCCTGCCCGCACAGTCTTGCCCTTGAGGGAACAAAAGCTAAGCACACATTTAAGTGTCCAACGAGGCAGGCAAGGACATTTCTAAGTCCCTCCCAGAGGCAACGGCCATGTACTGACAGCAGTGCAGATGCCTGGCTGAATTTGGGAAGGAAGCAGCAATTGCTAAACTCTTTCCACCACGCGGTGCTGACTGTGCGCTTTCCCGGTATCTCGCTTTTTCCATCATCACACAGCCTGTGTCAGGTCACCGCCATGCTGTGGGTAAAGAACCTTATCTGTGAGACCCACGGCTCTGGCCCGGAGCAGTGGGGCCCCGCTGGGCCGTGACGGAAGTCCAGACCATTCTGCTGCAGAGCCGACGAAGGAAGAAATGAAGGCAGGACAGGGCTGGGGTGTGGGTGCAAAGTGGCATCTGGCACAGGGGAGAGGATGGTTTTATTTATTTATTTATTTTTAACATTTTTGTTGGAAATAATTTCAGACTCAGCAGAATAGCACAAAGAATTCCTGTAAACCCCTGGCCTAGCTCTCCTGAATGTTATCATTGTTCATAAGACGTTAAAAAACAACCAATTAACATCAATTCAAGACTATTAACTACTCTCAGACCTTAGTCACACTTTGTCAACTGTCCCCTGATGTCCCTCTTCTGGTCTAGAATCCAATCCAGCTGGGCGTAGTGGCACACACCTGTAATCCCAGCACTCGGGAGGCTGACACAGGAGGATCACTGTGAGTTCGAGACCAGCCTGGGCTACATAGTGAGTTCCAGGTCAGTCTCAACTACATAGTGAGACCCTGCCTCAAAAAAACAAACAAACAAAAAAATTAGAATCCAATCCATGGTCCTGTGTTGCATTTAGTCTTCTCATCTCCCACCTGGGCCAGTCGCTCAGCCTGTCATTCGTGGTGTTGACATATTTGGAGTGCCAGCCACATGTCTTACAGAATATCTTTCAACCTGGGTTTGTCTGGGGTCTTTCATCAATGGTTGTGCATTTTTGGCACAGATATCACAGAAATGAGGCAGCACCCTCCATGGTGCCTCACTCTGAGAGGCAAATGATGTCTATATATTGTCACTGCTGAGAGTCATTTTTTTGGGGTGTGGTGCTGTGGATGGACCCAAGGGCCTTGCGTGTCTGGCACACAGTGTTCCGCTGAGCTGAACCCCAGTCTAGAGATTAACTTTGATCACGGGTTTCAGGTGGAGTCAGCCAGGTTCTCCACTGCTGACTAATTAGTATCTTGTGCAGGAGATACTTTGAGGCTATGCAAATACCGTTTCTCATCGCCCTCGGGTGACTTACCCTGAGTGTCCAGGTGTTAGATTGTGCTCCTGCATGTTAGAAACTCAGTGTTATTTGTGTCTTCAGACCAGCAGAAGAGAACAGAAGCTCAGACCTCTCAGGAGGAAGCTTAGAGCCGGGACGGAATCTAGGTGCCAGCAGAGATGCCAGGCCCTGGTCTCCCCCACCCCACGATTACTCCAAATGCCGTGGGCTTCTGCCTTTAGGAGCTCTGCACCATCTCAGCCTCAGGACCATGGAGTCAGCACCAGCAGCAGATGTTTCCTCCATCCCAGGAAACAGGGACCTTGCTAAGGACCTTCAAGACATCTTGTAGCCTGCTCATTTGCCCACTCCAGTACAAGAGGTGCCAGGAGGACAGCAACCCAGCCTATTTCAGTCACTGCTCGCCAGCACCAATGTACTCAGTCCACACTGGCTGGGGGAATAGGACAGAAAGAATGTGACTCCCAAGAGGGTAGCAGTGTCTCTTGTTTGACACCTGCCTCTCCTACCCTCCTCAGTCTGCTGTAGTCTGCCCTCTCCTAGTATTGCAAGTGATCAAGTGGATACACTGAGTACACTTTGGAGCAGTTTTATAATCTTAATGTATAATCTCAAGTTTATAAATTTATTTTTCATTTTTTAATCAGTCTCTTTTTTTGGATTTTCAAGTAGTGATTTTTTATGCTGATTGATTAAAAAAACAATAAAACCAACCTAATTGTCCAACAGTGGGGGATTTGAGGTGGGAGGGGGAGAATAATCTTACTGTCGAACATCAGGCTTAGAGTCTGTCTTCCCTCCCCCAGCACATTACGTAGTCATTTCCAAATAATAAGAAAATACAAAAAGCAAAAAACCTACTGGTATTTTCATCACCGAGAACTTCTCTTGATGGCTCAGAGTCTTTTCCATGTAGATACATACAAATATTTTCTTTTTCTTTTTTTTCTTTTTTTGTAGTACTGGGGATTAAACTCAGGGCCTTCACACTGAACTATGTATATCCTTGGCCCTTTTTTGAGACAGGGTCTTATTAAATTGCCCAGGCTGGGTTCAAACTTGTGATCCTCCTGCCTCAGCCTCCCCAGGTGCTGGGACTGCAGGAATGTGCCACCGTGCCTGGCCCAAGTATTTTATTTTTCTTAGAGTCTCTGTGCTCTTTGGAGATCTACTACATTTAATGTTTGCGCCTGTGTATGGATATGTAGGTTCCATCCAGTCCCCTCTCGCTGGCCAGATCTGTTGGGCCAACTCTTTCCTATTGCAGCACAGCACAGGATTGAGCGTGCACCCACCAGCACTCTGGGGAGGTGTTCGTTCCACTTCTCCTTCCTTCCTTCTACTTGGCGAATCTTTCCCCAAACGGTCACACTGCCTGCTGCCTTACTTCTTGTACATGTCACCTCCTTACACAGTCTCTCCTTTTCTTGTCTCAGCCTTCATTCTCTAACCTTGTTCCTGCTTTTACCATATTATATGCATTGCCTTGTTTCTTCCATGAGAATAGAAGCTTCAAGGGGACAGGGATTATGCCTTGTCACTGTTGCACAGGGCCTGGCCAACAGCCAGAGCTCAATAAATATTGCTGACAACAGCCGGGCGTGGTGGTGCACGCCTGTAATTCCAGCACTTGGGAGGCTGAGGCAGGAGGATCACTGTGAGTTGGAGACCAGCCTGGGCTACATAGTGAGTTCCAGGTCAGTCTCAACTACATAGTGAGACCCTGTCTCAAAAAACAAACAAACAAAAACAAACAAATATTGCTGATGAAATGAAAGTATAAGGGTCAGGGATTTAGCTCAGTGGTTCTGCCATTTTCCTTGCAAGCACAAGGTTCCAAGTTCAATCCCCAGTACAAATAAATAAATAAATAAATAAATAAATAAATAAATAAGAAAAGAAAGAAAAAGAAGAAATGAAAGTATAGATGGCTGAAGCTGATTTGGAAAAACAAAAAAACCAAAAAACAGGCAGCCTATGAACAGTAGATGTAGCAGGAAGTGGTGGTCTACTCCTGTAATCTCAGTACTGGGGAGGCTGAGGCAGGAGGATCACAGTGAGTTTGAGCCCAGCCTGGGCTACATAGTGAGTTCAGGGTCAGCGTGAACTACATAACAAGACCTTGCCTCAAAAAAAAAAAAAAAAAACTGGACATAAGGCACTGGTTAAACATCTCACTCTCCTGCAAGTTGCCTGTTCAGGTTCCCCCTGATAGAGCAGCTCTGGGGCATCTGTCTTGTTCTCCCTCTCGTCCTGGGAACCAAGCAGGTGTACACCAGGTATTTAATACGCGATGGTGGGGTCTCAGGAGTGGGGAGCTAAGGTTTGGTCAAGGGACGGGAGCAGGGCTGACCGCGTCCTCACCCTCTAGGTACAGCCTGTACACGCGCACCTGGCTCGGGTACCTCTTCTACCGGCAGCAGCTGCGCAGGGCTCGGAATCGCTACCCCAAAGGCCATTCCAAAACCCAGCCCCGCCTCTTCAACGGTGAGCTCAAGGTTCCCTCACATCAACCCTGCACACCGCTCCCCCACTCCCGGGCTCCCACCCCTCACCCCTGCCCCCGCCCATCTCTGCCTCTGTCCCCCAGGAGTGAAGGTGCTTCCCATCCCCGTCCTCTCTGACAACTACAGCTACCTCATCATTGACACCCAGGCCCGGCTGGCTGTGGCTGTGGACCCTTCAGACCCTCGGGCTGTGCAGGTGAGTGGAGAGGGGTGGTCACCCCCGCTACAGAAGGTAGCAGACGGACTGACTGTGGTCCCTGTGCCCCCTCCAAGTGTGCCGCTGCATTCGCGCACACACATGCACACATAGCCCTCCTGGACACAGTATGGGGAAGGTGTGTGCCCTGGGTAGGGCAGGAAGAAGGGAGGCAGGACTGGGGGGCGGGAAGAGCCAGGGGGTTAGGGTGCTGGCCAGGATTGTGATTTGAGTCGGTTTCTTTCCTTCGTGAGCTCCATCAGTTCCTGGATCTCTGCCCTCTCGTGTGTGTGTGTGTGTGTGTGTGTGTGTGTGCGCACGTGTTTGTGCCAGCCCTTCCATGCTTCCATGAGCCTCTCTCTCCTTCCCACCTACCCACCCTCTCCCTGCAGTCCTGGGCTGGGTCTCCCTGTTTATCCCCACCTCTCCAGCTCCATCCCCTTTTACTCCCTGCTCCCCCTCCATCTGCGTGCACCCCACCCATCTCCCTGCTTCTGTTTCTGCACCCTGCTCTCAGCTCAGCAGGTGTCTTCCCCCCTCACCTCCCACAGGCTTCCATCGAGAAGGAGGGAGTCACCTTGGTTGCCATTCTCTGCACCCATAAGCACTGGTAAGGGGCCAGGTGGGGGTAACTCACTGGGGGGACAGACAATCTTTCAAGCCTCATTGTCCTGGCAAGGGGCAGTGCCAGGACTGAGCCTAGAGAGGACCACCTGAGCTGGGCATCAGGAAGTCAGGATGGGTGGGGACCCACCTTCCACATGAAGTCCCTGTGGCGCAGCAGAGGGGGCAGGGGAAGGGGCAGTTACCTAGCTTCTGAAGCCCCAAGGAGGCCAGGCTGTCATTGACACCTGCTGTACAATGGGCATGGGCAAAACTTGTGCTGTGTCCCACCAAGTCTACCAGGTCAGACAGCCCTGCACCAGAGTTCTAAGTTACGTTTAGGTGGCAGGTGGCACAGGGTACAGGGGATGGGGGGTGCCAGGCAGTGGTGCCAGTGACCAAACCCACTGGGGAGAATTCGTGGATGGTGACCATGGCTGAGTCCACAAAGATCACTCAGCATCGGCTGAGTGAAGGTTATTGGGGTGAGGATGGCTAGCTGTGGGGGTAGCATTTGGGGGAGGAAAACAGCTTGAGCTCAGGCTACAGGTGCTGTGGTTAAGAGGGAGGCTGAGGTACAGTTGCCCCTCACCTGTGAGAACCCTGCTTATCTCTCCCATCCTGCAGGGACCACAGTGGAGGGAACCGTGACCTCAGCCGGCGGCACCGGGACTGTCGGGTGTATGGGAGCCCTCAGGATGGCATTCCCTACCTCACCCAGTAAGTCCCTGCCTGGGGATGGAAGGGCCTTCAGCTAAGTATTTTAGGGCACCAGCAGCCACGTCTTTGCTGATGCCTTTCCTTAGAGAACCCACATGAAGGGGAGGATTTGGATCTGAGAACCTGGGCATGGGTTACTTCTACCTGGCATAGAAACCCATCCTCCTTTAAGTCATTCACCCCTGGGGCCTGGGGTGGGTACAGATAGCAGCTGTTACTTCGCCCCCAGCCCCCTGTGTCATCAAGATGTGGTCAGTGTGGGACGACTCCAGATCCGGGCCCTGGCCACCCCAGGCCACACCCAAGGCCATCTGGTCTACCTGTTGGATGGGGAGCCCTACAGGGGTCCCTCTTGCCTCTTCTCAGGAGACCTGCTCTTCCTCTCTGGCTGTGGTGAGTTTCCCCAAAAGAGGGCAGTGGGGGGCACAGAGGCCAGGGCAGCTGAAGTCCCACAACACACATGAAAGCGTTGGTTTCAGCATGGATGTCACCCTGGCAGTCACTCCTATTTGTGTCACCTGATTATTGTTTTTATATCCTTAAGACATCCCACCAGATGGACAGAAGAGATGGGTCCTGTAGCTGAGCAAAGACAGGACAGGGTGGGGAGTCCCCGTTTCCTCTGGGTGGTGCCTGGTCCCAGACGGTAACTGATAGGACTAGGTGTGGAAAGCCGAGGACCCTCAGGGAAAGGAGATCCTGAGGGTGAAGGAGGATCCTGAGTCCCAGAGGACACCCAGGCAGAGCCACTGTATGGAAAAGAGCAGCCCTACACCCTGGAGCTGGGCTGCTGGAGCTCAGCCTAAAGCCCCACAGCCCCTGTCCGTTCAGACACCCATCTGCCTGGCTTGCTCAGGGTGACTGAGTGGGCTCAGCTCCCAGTGTGAAGGAGGGAGTAGATGCCAGGGATGAGCAAGCAGGGGCACGGGTGAAGGGCTAGAGGCTGGCCAGAGGTGCCCGAGCTGGTCCACATCCTTCTCCATGTGCCCTGTGCCATCCTGAGTCATCTTTGCACCCTTATCTACCTCCCAGGCAGGACCTTTGAGGGCACAGCAGAGACCATGCTGAGCTCGCTGGACACTGTACTGGGGCTGGAGGATGACACCCTGCTGTGGCCTGGTGAGGCACCCTTCTCCCTTCTCCCCAGCCCCATACTCCACCTAGCATCAGGCTCTCTCAGGCCCTGGCCCAGAAGGGACTGGCTCCGTCTCAAAGAGGCTCCCTTCTTGAGAGCACAGTACTGGCTCTGGGAGCCAAACTTCTCATACCACTGTCCCCACCAGCCAGCCAGGGGGAGCCTCATAGGAGCCCTGCAGGACCCAAGCATCTGGAGAGGTGTCTTACAGCCAGAGCCCAGGACAGAAAGTAGTTTTGCAGGAAATCCACTCTGCATGTATCCAATGCCTTGTAGTTTATAAAAACAGCAGAGGGGCTTTTTGTTGTTATTTTTGTGGTACTCGGGATCAAACCCAGGGCCTTGTGCGTGCAGGGCAAGCTCTCTACTGCTGAGCCACACCCTCGGCCCCCATGTCTTACAGTTTCTAAAAACAACTGAGATATCTGACTTAATCATCAGAACATATATTCATTCATTCACCAGACTCTCTAAGTGCACTTGACAGGTACCAGGCTCTTCTCTAGGCACTGGGAACACAGCAGTGACGTCTATACCCAAATGACTTATTGTTTCTCCATTTGTCAGATTAGAAACCTGGCTTGCAGAGGTGCCATGACTTGACCAAAGTCAGGGCTAGCATGGTGGCCTCCTGGGTCCAGGTCCAACCGAACACCTCTGCCTCCCTGCCTTTCTTTGGCGTCCTTGTACAGCAGCTAGAAAAGCACCTCCAGGTGGCTGGGTTTCCCGGGAAGCCCTGCCTCTCTCCCTGGTTGTGGGTGTCCCTAGGCCTGGGCTGGGAGGTGAGGAGGACTTCCTCTGACCCTGCGCTGATCTCTCTCTCTCTGCCCCACCTCCCCACCCCATGGCTGTGGCTAGGTCATGAGTACGCAGAGGAGAACCTCGGCTTTGCAGGAGTGGTGGAGCCTGAGAACCTGGCCAGGGAGAGGAAAATGCAGTGGGTGCAGAGGCAGCGGATGGAGCGCAAGAGCACGGTGCGGGGCCTGGGGACCTGGGACACATGGGCACTGGGCGCAGCCAGGACCACCTCTGCCCACCCAGGTCTGGGTACTGCCCAGAGCTCGATCTGCTCACGTCCACACTCCCAGACCCAGGAGGGCAGGTTGGAGCCAGGGCAGGCTTCCCTACGTTGGGTCTGTCCACCCACCCAATGCTTCTCCCCTGCAGTGCCCGTCCACCCTGGGAGAGGAGCGCTCCTACAACCCGTTCCTGAGGACCCACTGCCTGGCGCTGCAGGAGGCTCTAGGACCTGGCCCAGACCCCACCGGGGATGACAGCTGCTCCCGGGCCCAGCTCTTAGAGGAACTCCGCCGGCTCAAGGACATGCACAAGAGCAAGTGAAGCCCCCAGCCCAGCCCAGCCCACCCCCACGGTGGGGAGGCCACCCATCGCCCACACCTCACTGTCCTCCTCGCCACCTCCGCAACCTCCTTCATCAGCACTCACTGGCATCATGCACCCACCACCTGATCAGGGGGAGGGGAAGGACCAGGCGATGAGACCCCACAGGTGAGGCTGGGTCATCACAAGTGAGAGGAAAGGACAGGCACTGTGATATCTCTGGACCCTGCTAACTTTGAGGGTCCCCTCGTCCCTTCCCCCACTTGTGGGACAGCGGCACAAACAGGGAGGCTGCTGTGACTTCCCTGCCTGGGAGACCTCATTTTTGCTGTAGCCCTGACACCCAGGGCAGCAGAAGCCATGCCAGGTTGAGTCCATTTTCCACCTTCCCCAGCCACAGTTGGGGTCTTGGGAAAGCAGTCAGAGGGCAGCCAGACAGATGACTAGGTCCCTGCCCCTCCTCCCCAAGCTTCCTGCCCCACCCTGCCCTGCCAAGGCATTTTCAGACAGAGCCATTCCTAAGACCCCAAAGGGCTGGAAGTCGGGCTCTGGTCATCCTCTGCCTCTGTGGCTCCCCTACAGTCTAGAAGGGGGTGTGTCCTGGTTGCCAAGGAAACCTCTGCCTCCAGCTGAGACCCAGACACAGGGATCTAGAGCCGGGCAGGCTCAAAGGCACCCGCTCACCCTATACATCTGGCCTGAGCCTGACCGCTGACCTCTGCCCCTGCCCTGGCCACAAGGGCCTCCTTCCCAGGGGAGAGAGAGCCACAGGACACCTCAGCTGATGCACTTTCCTCACTTTAGCCTTTGTTCTTAGGAATTTCTGCCTGCTGCCTTCTATCTTACTTAATCCCTCTTGCTTTATCCTTGACCGCTTTCTTCTTTGAGTTAGTGATTTATTTTCTAGCCCTGACATTCACTTGGCCCTTTGCAGTTCGCCAAGAACACTCATTCCCATGATTTCCCATCGCATCCGCGGCCCCATCCTGGCTGAAGGAGGAGGCTCTGTGCAGCAGGCCTGGACCCTTCCCCTCTGCTCACCCCTCCTCCAGGTCTGCTTCTCCCCTGGTCCTGGGTTCAGGTCCCTGTGGGGCCGCGGTGAAGAACCCTCGGTCCCCAGGCAGACACACATGGGTCAGCCGGCGCCTTCTCTTCCTGTGTCGGAGCCTCCCAAGATGCCCCCGTCCTCAGTTTCCCCTCTTCACCTGGCCTCTCCAGCCTTAGTCCCTGGAGCCCACTCTAGCAATACCACCAGACTAGTTATCCTTCCTGCCCCAAGACATGCAGACTCTCGCCTCTGTGCCTTCGCTCATGCTGTTCCTCAGGCCAGAATGCCTTCCCTGCTCCTCTACCTGGTCTGCCTGGCAAACACCCACTCATCTCTCCTGGCCCCTCCCTAGGAAGGCACCCCTGCCTCTCCCCTCCAGGCTACCTCTGCACTTTGTAAATGCTTCTCTCTTGTGGCACTTATCACACATATTTTACTTGTTTACATGTTTGTCTCCCCTTCTAGACTGTGAATCCTTAAGGGCATGGACTGTATCTTATGCATCTCTGTATTTCTGCGCCTAGCACGGTGCCTGGCACACAGTAGGCGCTCAATAAATGTTGAATGAATGAATGATTTAACCAAGGTCTGATCACTCAATGGTTTGTCTGTCCTGCTGCAGAAGTGCAAACATCAGAGAACCTTCTCACTGTTTGCCTGCCTTGCTCCAGCTCCTGTAGCTTGGGGTTACTTGCACTTTAAGAGCTTTGGTCAGGAATGCCCTGAACACATTCCTTCTGCTGCCCTGTGCATCTGTTGAAGGTTTGCAGCTTGCTTTCTTCGGTGTTTTCCAAAGCAGAGCTGCACAGGTGCATTGCTGGCCAAGGGGGTGGGAGTGGCTGTGCATGGTCACAGACAGCATGAAGGACACTTCAAGGGCACGACCTTGGCTTTAGCCTTTCTCTGACACCTCTGTAAAAAGAAAAGGCTGGATTCCAGATCTGCACTTTAATTCAGCACCTGGCTCTAGTTTTACAGTAGTATTCTGTTTTTGTAGTATCTATTTTGAGAGTTGGTGCTTATGCGTGACAACAATTTTTAGTTCATGAAAATGATTAAAGATTTATTGGACTAGGGAAATATGAAGTGAAGATGACACCTGGCTGTGGCAGAACTGAAGCTGGCCCCACGTGGCTGGAGAGCAGGGTGCACTGGTTTAGTGCCCTACTTCCTTGGGCTGAGCCTAGGGCAATTAAAATCCCTGGCCACAGTTCAGCTTCTCCTCCAAGGTTCACTCCAAACCTCAGGCCAGAGGCCTTGGCACTGGCCCCCGGAGGCCTGAGTCGGGGCTGCACCTGGCCTGGAGTTAGCGACAGACTGTGGTCTTCACTGTCCTAAGGAACGGGGGCTTTGTGTGCTCTGTGCTTGTCCAGATCACGGCTGTCTTGGGTGGTTGAGCCCAAGGACCAGACCCTGTACTGTATAGGTCACTCTGGGTATGCGCAGATTCAAGGAGCACTGGGTGACAGTTCTCTTGGCTGGTGAAGCACTTTCCTAGGGCACCTGGACCATCTGTCCTGAATCATGGTTGAGCCTATGCCTCTTCTGAACTGGCACTTCCCAGTAATGAACAAACCATGGTTTTGCTTGTAGGGTAGTGGGTGTCTTCAGCCTTAGAGGCCTGGGGTTTTATCCCAGCTCTGTCACCCAGCATCTGAGTGACCTTGAGCAAGTCATTTCCTTGTCCTGTTTTTTCATGTTCCAGTGGAAAGGAAAACAATGAGTCAGACCCCTTACATGTACAAGTGACAAATACGCAACCCAATGTAGGTTAAACCAAAAAGAAAGTCTGAAATGGACAGCCTCATGACAGGTTGTATAGACAGCTGTGAAATTGAGAAGTATGAAGTGCATCTTCAGGCATGGGTGGATCCAGGGATACCTTCATTCATCTCTGCTTTCTTCTCTGTTGGTACTATTCTCTGTCAGGCTTTCTCCTTATGGTGGAAAGATGGTCTCTAGAAATTCCAGCCCTACAGGGTACTGGTTCTTCAAACCTAGCAGAGCCTCCAATCGTTCCAGGATTTTCACTGGACCTGGTCTTGCCTATGCCCAACTCTAAACCAATCATAGAAGTTAAGGGAATGGGCTTCTCTGATTGGCTGGGGTGGATCATATGACCACACCTGAAAAGGCTGTATCAGTCCCAGCTGAACCACACTGAACTGAAGTTGGGGCGAGGGGTCAACAAAGGTATGGGGGCCTGATACCAAAAAGGATGCAAGACAGTAAACTCAGGCTATTAGGAGGGTCAGATGGGAAAAGACACATGAAGCCACTTTGAAAAATGCTACATCAGATTTCTGGTGCTCTGATTAATTATAGAGAAGAAATGAAGGTGAACACATGGCCTCAGAGTATTTGTATACTATGTGTTTTAAAAATAACCAGCAAGCAGCTCATGTTTGCATTTTTCCTGCCCTGAATCTCAGGCTGTTTGTTTTTTAGTGTAGCAAAGAAGGGGGGAGATCAATTAGGCAGTCTTAAGCATGCCAGGGAAAAACAGAACAGGGCAGTTGAAGAAATAAACATGGAAGTCCTGAGTGTGCATGTGCGTGTGAGCATGTGTGTACTGGGGGTGCCCTTAGTCATTCAAATCTCCAACCACAGATGGAAGCTTTTTGTTTGGGGATTGAACCCAGTGCCTTCACACTAAGCAATACTCCCCCAACCCTTTTCATTTTTTTGATTTTTTTTTTCCTTTTCATTTTTTGAGATCACTAAATTGCTCTGGTGAGATCTGAGCTTGCAGTCCTCCTGCTTCAGCTTTCCTCAGTGCTGGGGTTATAGGCATGCACCACCATGCCCAGCTCAGATGGAGCCTTTGAAAGTAGGAACCTTATTCTGATGGTTCATGAGCACCAGACTCAAGCAAAAGGCAGGACCAAGTGGTAGAAAGAAAGAGGTTGGACTGGTCTGGCTACAAAGGTCAACTCCACCTCTGAATGGACAGATAACTCCAGGCAGAGACTCTGTCCCTGAGTTTCATTCTAAAGTTGTCAGAACTAAAAGAGATATATACATAGTAGATTTCAGCTAGAAACAGCAGCCTCTCATTGCTCTGACCATTATTAATAAACATGGGGCTAGGAAGATGGTGGAGTGGTGAATAGCAGGGAAACAGCCTCTCTGAAATTCGGTGTACAGAAGCTGGAATATAGCAAAGTGAGGATGAGAAGAAGGAGGGAAGTGGGTTCCTGGGACCTAGCAAGGATCTGAAGCAAGAATTGAAGCCCAGAGATAGAGTGAAGAGAGAGACTTCAACAAAGAACAAGAAGGTAGCAAGCAGTACTTTTCCCCTGAGCCCTGACTCAATGTGAGGGGAGGGTGGCCTGAACCTGAGCATGCACAGTGACTACTGGAGACCCCAGAGGTCCCCACGGAGAAATTCATCAGTGGAATGGAGCAGTGGACACAACAGACGGCGGTGGCTGGTGAGTATGCAGGTTCAGATGTACCCCAGGAGAGGGCAATTGACTGGTAATCATCTTGAAGAGGGGCCAACTAAGCCAGAACTCAGAGCAGCTGCAGGCTGGCTCCATTAGGGTGAGGCAGAACCAAGTTCAAGTTGTTGCAGGCTAAACAAAATGGGTCCCAGCCTGGTAGCCAGAAACCAGCCTGAGCTTCAGAACAGGCTTGCTGGGATTATCCACTACCTTGCCATAAATCTATAACTGGATTGTTGGGGTTTAATCAACACAGATATGGACTCTTGTCTGTCCACTTTGTCTACTAGTGACAGCAGAGATGCCCTGAAGAGGATTTTTTTCTTTTCTTTTTTTTGGGGGGCGGTGAGACAGGGTCTCACTATGTAGAGTTGAGACTGACCTGGAACTCACTATGAAGCCCAAGGTGGTCTCGAACTCACATCAATCCTCCTGCCTCAGCCTCCTTAGTGCTGGGATTACAGGTGTGCACCACCACACCCGGCCTTGAAGAGGGCTTTTTCCCCTCTTATTTTCTTCTTTTCTTGTTTTCTTTTGGTTTGTCTTGTTTGTTCTTGTTTTTACATAAATGTGAGTATTATTTCTAGTTTTCTTGTTGTAGTTCCATTCTGTTCTGTTTTTATTTCTTCCTTCTCTTTCCCTCCTATCTCTTCTTCACCAGTTTCCCAAAGTTTGCCTAATATTCCTTTGTTCTAGCCTTGCTTCTAATTTCTTCCTCTACTTCTATTTCTCTATTTTTCCCCCCATCCTCTTTTAAATTTTTCCCCTGAGGGTAAAATCACCATACTGAAGGCATATTTACTGTATACCATTTTCTGGTTTGTTTTAGATTTTGTTATATAATCATAAATCTAGCTCATAGGGCTAAAGGTGGCAAATTAATGGTTACCACAGTTTGTCACTTTCTAAGCTGTGTTTGATACTACTCTTATTGCTGATTGTACTACTTTAGTCAAGGTAACCTAGTTGTTCTAACCTAGTTGTCCTTACTGGTATAACAAGCCTGAGATTGCCTAAAGGTAATATAGGCCAGAGCCAAAGAACCAGGGGATACGTCAAACAGGCAGCAAATTCCCATCTGCAACAAATTTAAGAGGTAGGATCTTGCAACAGACTCAAAACCCAAAATCCAGCTACACCTAGAAGATATCTCTGAGAAGTAGTCATTTCTTAAGAGTTCTAAATATTAACAATAAAGCCACTTGCCATAGACAATTTACAAGCATCAACCCAGGAGTTAAACTAAAAAGAAAAAATTGAAAATGAGATGACCCTTAAGCAAGATGCAACCCCAAAGTCAAAACCAGGGGGCCAGGGATTTAGCTCGGTGGTTTTGCCACCTGTCTTGCAATTGCAATGACCAAAGTTCAATCCCTGCACCAAAAAAAAAAAAAAAAAAAAAAAAAAAGGGCAAACCCAGGGGGCAGTGAGGTGGAACAATTAGAAACTTACCCATCTGCATTCTGAAGTGGTAAAAGCAGAAGTAACAGAGCAGATGAATGAGGCTCCACAAAATATCAAAGCAAAAGTTTCTCAGATGACTACAGAGATGCTGACCATAATGAAAGACCTGGTTAGTGACTCTACAGCAGATACAGATTAAAAAAAAATAGAGGTGCTTAGGAAAATGATGGAAACCATGAATGCCAGCATGGGAAAGCAATAGAATCCATGAAAAAGATTCAAACAGATATCCAGGAGATTAAATATTCTATTGAAAGTATAGACAGTAGAATGATCTAATGTGAGTTCAGAATATCAGCTATAGAAGACAGGATTGTG